ACTCTTCCTTACTCCCTTCACTCTGCCCGCCAGACTTGCTCCTTCTGCCTGCTTCCCACCCTACTCCCAAGCCCCGCTTTAACTTCACCTGCCCAAGGCCCCCACTTTCCTGCTAGGGACATTCCTCTCTTCCTCACAGATCCCAGTCCTTTGGCCCTTATTGTGTCTTACACAAAGCACGATCACAATTTATTATAAGCTGTTTTGAATGTATGTGTGTGGGGCATTTTTTTCTATTTTAAATTTGCTCCATTGGACTATAAGTACTATGAAAAACTTCACGCCTCTTTTGGTTACCACTATTTTTCTTGAGCATGATGCCTAATAGGTGCTCAATAAAAATTAGTTGAGTGAATAAACCGATGATATTTATCTCTGGTTGTGATATGTGCGCTAATTCTTATGGAAACTCTAAGACCTCTTGGATCTACACTGTAAAGTGAATTCAGATGGAATTGGCCATCTGAAATACGTTTATAATGTTCGTTGTGCCAGTAGCTCAAAGTTCTGCTAATTGGCTCAGGATTAGGTGTGTCCTGCAGACTGAAGGCAAAGTGAAATCATATGGTATTTGTCTTTCTCTGACTGACTTATCTTGCTTATCATACTACTCTCTAATTCCATCCGTATTGTTACAAATGGAAATATTTCATTTTTTATGGCTGAGTAATATTTCATTTTATATATATATATAAATGTATATATATATATAAATGTATATATATATACACCACTTCTTTATCCATTCATCATTTGATATACTTGAGCTACTTCCATAGTTTGGCTATTGTAGGTAAACTTGCTATAAATATTAGGGTACATTTATCCCTCTGAATTAGTAGTTTTGTATTCTTTGAGTAAATACCTAGTAGTGCAATTTCTGGGTTGTAGAGCAGTTCTATTTTTAACTTTTTGAGGAACATCCATACTGTTTTCCAGAGTGGCTGCACCAATGTGCATCCCCACCAACAGTGCAAAATGGCTCCCATTTCTACACATCCTTGCCAATACCTATTGTTACTTGTGTTGTTAATTTCAGCCATTTTGACAGGTGTGAGGGAATATCTGACTGTAGTTTTGATTTGTATCTCCTGATTATCAATGATGTTGAGCATCTTTTCATAGGTCTGTTGGCCATCTGGAACATCTTCTTTGGAAAAATATCTATTCATATCTTTTGCCCATTTTAGATTTTGCATTTTTGGGGTGTTGAGTTCTATGAAGTTCTTTATAGATTTTTGGATACTAACATTTTATAAGATGTCACTTGCAAATATCCATTCCCATTCCATATTTACCTTTTAGTTTTGTTGATCATTTCCTTTGCTGTGCAGAAGCTTTTTATTTTGATGAAGTCTCAATAGTTTATTTTTACTTTTGTTTCCCTTGCCTCAGGAGACAGATATAGAAACAAGTTGTTACGGCCGATGAAAAAGAAGTTACTGCTTGTGCTTTTCTCCATAATTTTTATGGTTTCAGGTTTCACCTTGAGGACTTTAATCCATTTTGAGTTTATTTTTGTTTGGCGCAACAAAGAGGTCAAGTTTCATTCTTTTGCATGTGGCTGTCCAGTTTTCCCAGCACCATATATTGAAGAGACTTTTTCCCATTGGATACTCTTTCTTGCTTTTTTTTTTTTGAAGATTAACTGAGCATATAATTGTGGGTTTATATCTGGGTTTTTTATTCCATTCCATTGATCTAGTGTCTATTTTTGTACCAGTACCATACTGTTTTGATCACTATAGCTTTGTAATATAACTTAAAGTCCAGAATCGTGATGCTTCCAGCTTTGTTTTTTCTTTTTCAACATTGCTTTGGCTATTTGGGGTCTTTTGTGGTTCCATACAAGAGATTTTTTTTAATTTGAGAGAGGAAGAGTGTGCAAGTGGGGGGAGCAGGACATGAGAGAGAGAATGAATCTCAAGCAAACTCCATGCTCAGCATGAAGCCAAACATGGGGCTTGATCCACAATGTAGGGATCATGACCTGAGCCAATATTAAGAGTTGGATGCTCAACTGACTGAGCACCAGGCATCCCAGTTCCATACAAATTTTAAGATTATTTGTTCTAATTCTGTGAAAAAATGCTGTTGGTATTTGACAGGGATTGCATTAAATGTGTAGATTGCTTTGAGTTGTATAGACGTTTTAACAATATTTGTTTTTCTAGTCCATGAGCATGGAATGTCTTTCCTTTTGTTGTTGTTGTTGTTGTTGTTGTTGTTCACCTTCAATTTCTTTCATTATTGCTTTACACTTTTCAGAGTACAGGTTTTTCTACCTGTTTGGTTAGGTTTATTCCTAGGTATCTTACTGGTTTGGTGCAATTATAAATGGGATTTATTTTCTCTTTCTGCTGCTTCATTATTGCTGTATAGAAATGCAACATATTTTTGCACATTGATTTTGTATTCTGCAACTTTATTGAATTCTATTTATCAGTTCTAGCAGTTTTTTGGTGAAGTCTTTCAGATTTCTGTATAGAGTATCATGTCATATGCAAGTAGTGAAAGTCTTACTTCTTTATTACAGATTTAGATGCCTTTTATTACTTTATGTTGTCTAATTCCTGTTGCTAGGACTTCCAGTAGTATGTTAAATAACTGGTGAGAGTGGACATCTCTGTGTTGTTCCTGACTGCAGAGGAAAAGCTCTCAGTTTTTCCCCACTGAGGATGATATTAGCTGTCAGGTTTTCATATGTGGCTTTTATTATGTTGAAGTATGTTCCCTCTAAACCTACTCTGTTGAGGTTTTTATCATGAATGGGTGTTATATCTTGTACCAAACAATTATTTTTTTTGTGTCTATTGAAATGATCATATGGTTCTTATCCATTCTTTTCTTAATGTGGTATACCACATTGATTGATTTGCAAATATTGAACCACCTCGCAACCCAGGAATAAATTCCACTTGATCATGGTGAATGATCTGGGCCCTTTCTCTTTTCTTTTTGATAAGTCTGGCTAGAGGTTTATTTATTAATTTTTTCAAAGAACAGCTCCTGATTTCATTGATCTGTTCTATTGTTTAAGTTTCTATATCATTTATTTCTGCTCTAATCTTTATTATTTCCTTCCTTCTGCCAGCTTTAGGCTTTGTTTGTTGTTCTATTTATAGCTGCTTTAGGTGTAAAATTAGGTTGTTTATTTGAGATTTTTCTTGCTTCTTGAGGTAAGCCTGTATTGTATATACTTCCCTCTTAGGACCACTTTTGCTACATTCCAAAGACTGTTTAAGATTTGATTTTCATTTGTTTCCATGTATTCTTCAATTTCTTGTTTTATTTCCCAGTTGACCCATTCATTGTTTACTAGCATGCTGTTTAGCCTCCATGTATTTGTGATCTTTCCAATTTTTTTCTTGTAGTTGTCTTCTAGTTTCATAGTGTCATGGTCAGAAAAAGTGTGTAGTATCATTTCAGTCTTATTGTATTTGTTGAGGTCTGTTTTGTGACCTAATATGTGATCTTTTCTGGAGGATGTTCTGTGAGCACTTGAAAGAATGTGTATTCTGCTCTTTTGGGTCAATTTCTGGGATCGTTAGGATGATTTTATAGTTATCTAGTTGTATTCATGAGACATGATGAGCCTAGGGTCCTCTTACTCTGCTGCCATCTTCCTCTCCTTTCTTTTTTTTTTTTTAATAGTTTATTATCAAGTTGGTTTCCATATAACACCCAGTGCTTGTAGTTTTGATTTATAGTTCCCTGATGATAAGTGATGATGAGCATCTTTTCATATGTCTGTTGGCCAACTGTATGTCTTCTTTGGAGAAATGTCTGTTTATGTCTTCTTTCCATTTTTAGTTGGATTATTTGCTTTTATTTTTGTAATGACTCATATAAGCTCTTTATATATATTTGGATATGAGCCCATTATCAAATACGTCATTTGCAAATATCTCCTCCCATTCAGTAGGTTGTCTTTTAGTTTCATTGATTGTTTCCTTTGCTGTACAGAGCTTTTTATTTTGATGGAGTCCCAATAGTTAAGTTTTGCTTTTGTTTCCCTTGCCTCAGGAGATATGTCTAGAAAAATGTTGCTACATAGGCTGAAATAGTTTTAACAAATTTAAAAACTCATACTATTTTTTTACCTAATTTCAGTCAGGCCAGGCCAGTATGAACTACAGCTAACTCTTTTGGTATCTCTGAGAGCCACAAGAATTAGTCAACCAAATTGATTTCCCTAACATTCCGCTATCACATCCCTTTCTGCCTCGGTGGCCTAACAGCTTGAGTTCCTAAAGACAGGAGGTGATGAGGTAGCTGATTGCTTCATTACTATGTAACAAAGATGGCCATCTTCCTCACTGAGAAAGGAGTTTTCTGTTCCCCAACCTCCCATCTCCACTTATCTGGTTTTATATTTTAAAGTTTATTTGCAGTACTCAGCTATGGGAATCAATGCCTTGTTACTTAAAATTCTGGTTTTAAATTACAAAAACCCTGGTGTACTTGGGTGGCTCAGTCACGTGAGCTTCCAACTTTGGCTCAGGTCATGATCTCGTGGTTCATGAGTTCCAGCCCCACATCAGTCTCTGTGCTGACAGCTCCAAGCCTGGAGGCTGCTTCAGATTCTGTGTTTACCTCTCTCTCTTTCTGCCCTGACCCACTCACACACACACTCTCTCTCTCTCTCTCTCTCTCTCAAATATTAATTTAAGAAAACATTTTTAAAAAGTTACAAAAACCCAACTTTCACCAAGTTAAGCCTAAAAGGGATAAAAGGGAAAATTACTATATGGATAAAGGTGTATGTCACCCTAATTGGAAGCTACTACTCATTTCATAATCACAATTATAATCATCTCGGAAACAAGAGCACTAATTGGGACTACAAAACATTAAAAATATGTATCAACTAGTTTTAAGAGTCATCCTTGAACAATATTTTATATATGTTGTTTATATAAAATTATATACATAATTGACTATGCAATTTCAATGGTAAAGCATATTACTAAAATGCTTATCGTATTACTTTCTCCAAGGTAAAAACAGCAAGCTTGAAATGAGTGAAAAAGTAAAGCTACCTGAAATGACCAACAACTGGACCAAAGAGCATGTGAAACAATGGGTAACCGAAGACCTTAAGGTTGATGAGAGATATGGGCAGATTCTGCTCAATGAAGAAGTAACTGGATTAGTCCTGCAGGAATTAACTGAGATGGACCTTAGAGAAATGGGGCTACCACGGGGTCCAGCACTTGTGATAAAACGTAAATATGACAAACTGAATAACATGTACCTTGAAAGTAACAATCAGGATTCTGGACAATTAGATCATACAAAACCATCCCAAGAAGAACACCCAAAAAAGCCACAACAGACGAAAAAGGAAGATGAGAAAACAGTGTTATCCAATTTTAATCATGATCTCAGAGAGACCAGAGATACCAAAAACCAAGAATCAATTCTTACAAAAGAAGATGCATTAGATGAAGGCAAAACCACGGAAGACCAAAATGAGGATAAGCTAAAAACTGAACAGTTGACTTGTATGCCATATCCTTTTGATCAGTTCCATAATAGCCAGCGTTACATAGAACATAGTATTCTACAACCTGAAACTGGCCCACTCAATCTCATAGACCCAACACATGAATTCAAAGCCCTTACTAATACAGAAGCAGCCACGGAAAAGGACATTAAGATGAAATTTAGCAATGAAGTCTTCCGATTTGCATCAGCTTGTATGAATTCACGCACCAATGGCACCATTCATTTTGGAGTCAAGAACAAACCCCATGGACAAATCGTTGGTGTGAAAGTCACCAGTAAAGATGCCTTCATTGACCACTTCAATAATACGATCAGACAGTACTTTGAAGCTGAGGTCAATGTAGCCAAGTCGTGCATTCGGGAACCAAGGTTTGTGGACGTTTTACTGCAGAACAATACACCATCTGATAGATTTGTCATAGAAGTAGATGTTATTCCAAAACACTCCGTATGTGAAGAAAAGTATTTCTTAATCAGGATGCAAAGTTGTAAAAATGAAACGTGGAAACCAAACCAAGATCTTTCACTGTTTGTGAGAGATGGGGCCAGCTCTAAGGATATCCTGGCCAATGTCAAGCAACGGGATATAGCTTACAAAGAATTTTTACAAAATCTAAAGTCCCTAACAGCATCTAGAAAAGAAGCTGAAGAAGAATATGAGGTGAAAGCAAAAAAGAAGGAGAGTGAAGGACAAAAGCTTGTCAAACTTCTCATAGGCAACCGAGATTCACTGGATAATTCATACTATAGCTGGTACATTCTTGTAACAAATAAATGCCATCCAAACCAAACAAATAACTTAGATTTTCTAAAGGAAATGAAATGGTTTGCTGTGTTGGAGTTTGATCCTGAATCTGTGAGCAAGGGGGTGGCCAAAGCTTACAAAAAAAGCCGAGTTGCAAATCTTCACTTTCCAAATCAATTTGAAGAAAAGACAAATAACATAAGGGAGAAAATTTCTAGTTTGAATCTTTACCAGCAGCCCAGCTGGATCTTCTGCAATGGCAGATCAGACTTGAAAAATGAGAGCCATAAGCCTCTAGAGCCACACTTATGGCATAGAGAAAGAGCTTCTGAGGTCAGGAAGCTGATTTTATTTCTCACAGATGAAAATATAATGACAAGAGGGAAATTTCTGGTAGTGTTTCTATTACTCTCTCCAGTGGAAAGCCCAGGAGATCCCATCATTGAAACTTTCTGTGCTTTCTACCAAGCTCTCAAAGGAATGGAAAATATACTATGTATCTGTGTAAACTCACAGATTTATCAACGATGGAAAGATCTGCTACAAACAAGACTGACAATGGCAGATGAATTAACAAACCACAGTATTTCCACTTTAAATTTAGAACTGATAAACAGTACTATTCTTAAACTAAAACCAGTGACTCAGTCATCAAGAAGATTTTTGCCTTCCCATGGATTTTCTTCCGTTATCTTAGAGAAAAAGGAAGAGGATATCTTGACTGCACTGGAAATCCTCTGTGAAAATGAGTGTAAAGACACAGACATAGAGAAAGATAAAGCTAAATTCCAAGAATTTAAGACCTCAAAAGAGGAACACTTTTATCGAGGTGGCAAAGTATCCTGGTGGAACTTCTATTTTTCTTCTGAAAACTATTCTTCAGCTTTTGTCAAAAGGGATAGTTATGAAAAGCTTAAAGATCTGATACAATGCTGGGCAGACTCTCCTAAACCAGTATTTGCAAAAATTATTAATCTCTATCATCATCCAGGCTGTGGGGGTACTACATTAGCTATGAATGTCCTCTGGGACTTAAAGAAAAACTTTAGATGTGCTGTGTTAAAAAACAAAACAACTGATTTTGCAGAAATTGTAGAACAAGTGACCAAACTGATTACCTATAAGGCAACCAGCTATGAAGACTACTTTCCTGTACTTCTCCTTGTGGATGATTTTGAAGACCAAGAAAGTGTTTATGTCCTACAGAATGCCATTGATTCCATTTTAGCAGAGAAGGGCTTGAGATATGAAAAGACACTGGTAATTATCCTCAACTGCATGAGATCCCAGAATCCTGATGAGACTGCAAAATTAGCAGACAGTGTTGCACTAACCTACCAACTTTCTCCCAAGGAACAAAGAGCTTTTGAGGCTAAACTGGAAGAAATTGAAAAGGAACACAAGAACTGTGAAAACTTTTATTCCTTCATGATCATGAAAAGCAATTTTAACAAAAACTATATAGAAAAGGTAGTCAGGAATATCCTAAAAGGACAGAATGTTGACAGCAAGGAAGCACAACTCATCTCTTTCCTGGCTCTACTCAACTCTTATGTTACTGATTCTACAATTTCAGTGTCACAGTGTGAAATATTTTTGGGAATCATATACACTAGTACACCCTGGGAACCTGAAAGCCTAGAGGACAAGATGGGAGCCTATTCTACACTTCTAATAAACACAGAAGTTGCAGATTTTGGGAGATACATAGGTGTGCGCATCATTCATCCTTTGATTGCCATTTCCTGTCTGAAAGAACTGGAAGAAAGCTATAATTTGACTAAATGTCAAATTGCATTGAAGATCTTAAATGAGAATTTATTCTATATTTCTGGAATAGGAAGAGAAAAATTTCAACATGATGTGCAAACTCTTCTGCTTACAAGACAGCGCAAGGAGTATGGAGATGAAACAGATACTCTGTTTGCCCCGTTAATTGAAGCTTTAAAGAACGAAGAAATTGAAAAGGTTTTGGAGGCAGGGAGTATTCGATTCCCACAAAATGCATTCATTTGTCAGGCCTTAGCAAGATATTTCTACATTAAAGAAAAGAATTTTAACATTGCTCTGGATTGGGCAAATCAGGCCAAGAAGAGAGCATCTAAAAATTCCTATATCTCAGATACACTTGGTCAAGTCTACAAAAGTCAAATCAAATGGTGGTTGGATGAAAAGAAGAACTCCAAGGATATTACTGTTGATGATCTAACATATCTCCTGGAAGCTGCTGAAAATGCCTCAAGAGCTTTCAAAATATCCCAAGAGCAAACTGAGAGGAAAGGTTATGAAAGAGAGGGCTGGGCACCACAGAAGTTTCAAAGAAAATATGACACGTACAACACAGCCTGTTTCTTGGGTGAAATTGAAGTTGGTCTTTACACTATTCAGATTCTCCAGCTCACTCCCTATTTCCTCAAAGAAAGTGAATTATGTAAAAAAGCCATGGTAGAATTTTTATCAGGAAAGGGAATTACTCCCATAAATCCAAAATGTGAATATTATTTCGCTCTTAGCAAGTTCACACCCTACTTACAAAATTTACAATCAGATTTGAAAAGGTGCTTTGACTTCCTTAATGATTATATGGTTCTTCTGGAAATGAGGAACGCCCAAAAAGAAATAGTTGAAATCTCATTAAGCAAAAAAGTCACTCGTTATTTCAAGAAATACATGCAACTTTTCTGCCATTTGGATCTCAGTTCACTAGAGGGCAAAGAGAGTCCGTTTCTCCAAGAAGAGAAATGCAGGAAAGGCTTAGAAGCTTTGAGAGCAGATAGGTTTTCTGGACTCCTGGAATATCTTAATCCCAATCACAAAGATGCTGCAAACAATATGGAAAATATAGTGAACAATTATTCTTTCCTACTGAAGCAAAACCCAAGTAAACAGATGACAAAGGAGAAACTAAATTTCATTTTAGCCAACATTATTCTTAACTGTCTAAAACCCCACTCCAAATCCATTCAACCACTTACCACACTGAAAAAACAGCTCCGAGAAGTGTTGAGAGTCACAGTAGTAAGTCATCAATGTCCAGATTCTTATTTTTTGGCCTGCCTTCTGTTCTGGCCAGATAACCAAGAGCTAGATGAAGATTCCAAACTAATGGAAAAGTATGTTTTATCCTTAAACAGAACCTTCAAGAGACAGTACAGGAGCATGTGCAGGTCCAAGCAGGCAAGCACATTTTTTTATCTGGGGAAGAAGAAGGGTCTCCACAGTCTTGTTCACAAGGCCGAGATAGAGCAATACTTCAGCAAAGTACAAAATATAAATTCCCTTGGGCAGAGTGGTGACGTTTGGAAAAAAAAAGAAGTCAAAGACCTCCTGTGTCGTCTAACTGGTCAGGCTGAAGGCAAGCTAATCTCTATGGAATATGGAACGGAGAAGAAAATTAAAATACCAGTAACACCTGTTTATTCAGGTCCACTCAGAAGTGGTGGGAACATAGAAAGAGTATCCTTCTACCTAGGATTTTCCATGGAAGGCCCTCTGGCATATGACATAGAAGTAATATAAGAAAACATATTAACTCAAATATGTTTATTCATCTCTCTCTCTCTGATTTTATTCCCTCTCTCCATTCCCATGGCATTTTAATAACATTATTGGCTAATCTGCAATCACGGATTCTGCATTTATCTCCCTGAATGTATTGCAAAGCTTTTCGAAGGCATTAAGTATATCTATACAGAATTTGGTACACAGCAGAGTTGACTGTTCAGTGTTTTAAATACACATTTCAGATGTATATTCAGTTGGTATCCACTGGTCACATCATAACTGTCTATAGGTCAATAAAATCTGTTTTGATTATATCACTCATGAATATTCTGAATTGTGAATTATTCATTCACTGTGAAAGCAGAGATTTAAATAAGATAAATATTAAAGGAAAAGCCCTTCCTCAGTTTTTAGAAATCAGACCCATAGAGCCACACCAGAGTATCATCTTGGTATGGAAGTTAAATATTTTGTTCTCCTCTTCCATCTACCTTTCCACCTATCCATATAAATACACAATTCCTTGTACCCCTTGCCCTTCTCCCAACTTCCTGCTTCAGGAGGGGAAAGGGAACAGAAAACAAAGTGGTCACAAGCTTGAACTCCCTTTGCCTTCTTGCTCCCATTTACAGATAAATCTGTTTCTACAGCCATTTTTGCTTCCCGTCAACATAGTCTTATCTCCACCTATTCTTTACAGCCCATCTCCGCTGGCTTCTTTTTTCCATTCACTGCTCTCCTTTCTCTTTTGACTTCTCAACCTGTACTATATACACATTGTTCTCTGTCAAATATTCTGTTATTTTCATCCAACATTTTCCATATGACTATTCTGATTTGTCCATCACAACTCAGTTTGAATCAACTTCACCAGGAAGTCTTCCCTGACCCTAGAGGCCCTGCCTGATTAGATGACTTCCTCATGGCAGTGTGTGTTCCCAACTTTCCAGTGCCAGGAATGCAATCCTAGAGGCTTGATCCCAGACTTAAACCAAGCAGAACAGCCTCAAACAGCATTCCAGAGCTTGGATTTTAAGAGAGATCCATTGCGTATAAAGCAAAACACACACTAATGTAGATTAAATCAAATACTTCACAAATACATGTTTATTTATCTACTTCTTCATATCTCCTGAAAACATAACTTAGATATTCCAGGTTGTAAAACCAAACCAATTCCTCTTGTCATCTAGATATCTATTCCCTATCAGGGTCCTTTTTACCAGTATTTCTTTAAAACTCTGGGAAATGTTCACATGGTCCACAAACATGACCCTGTTGCTAGAAGCCACATCTGCTGCTGATCTTGCTCCAAACTGCTGCCTCCCCTTTCTGCAGTCCATGTGGTAGCACACTCTTCCAAGTGTTCACACATCCCTGGACACAGGCTGGACCCTTAAACCTTCATAGCGCTACAACATTTAGCAACACTTAACTAACAGCTTGACTTAAGAGAAAAAATGTTCTAATAGAAGGAAGAAAAATTGTTAAATATTCCTGTTATCCATGAATATCCTTCAGAGTTCAAAGGCCCAGCTCCTCTACAAGGTTTTATAGGGGCCTTTTCTTTTCTCAACCCACTTTCAACAGCCGCATCAGAGGGTGGCCCTTGCTCAGCTCTTTCACCTGAGAAACCCCTAAACAGGAATCATTAACTTAGAGATTAAGCTACCAACCCTCTGAGGTCCCTGGAAAGAATTCCATTTTTTCTGAAAGATATATAATATGCAGAGATGTCATTCACCCTCAAGGAAGACTGAGTTTTACATTATCAGGCAGAGAAGTTCGACTCCCTATTTCAGAACAGATTCTTCGCTTTACTCTTCTAGAGTCCAAGAGCCCATTAAAATGCTTTTCCCAAAACAAATGCCTACTCTTCCTTCGAAGGTGAAGTTGTGTTCTATCTGCAGAAAATCATGAACATTTATAGTAGCCTTAAATTCTAGTTTACTGTATCTCTACCATCTATGTTTCAAATATATTGGATCCAATTTTTCTCAGAGAACTCATTAAAAATAAAGACACTAATTTTAAATGAATTCTTTCCTTCAAACGCCCTCCTTTTTTTCTCCCCCATTTTTTTTTAAGTTGCCAACAGGGAAAACTGAGAGTAAAAACAAACAAACAAAAAAAAACTGAGAGTAAAAACAAAAAAAAATGTTGGATTTTTTTAAAATGAGCATTTTTTGGTTTGTGATACTCTGTGCTTCCTCGGCTCTCTACTCACAAGGACTCAGTACCCTCATGTCATCTCTTGCTTGTTCAGGGTTCCACCTAGTTCATAAATCACTAGCCCTACACACATAGATAAATTAACTCACAACTAATACAGCAAATTATGGCCCCAGTGGTCTTCTTAACTTGGAAAGATGATACCACAACAGCCAGTGATTAACCAAGACAACCAAGGGGAAAAGCTCATACTTAGAAAATAGACAGGCTTACAATGCAAGCCTAACGGTGCCAGGCATTCATCAAGTTAGTGTCTACAGGTAAGTCAGAACCCTGGTTTCCCCATTTGTTTGTTTGTCTTTTATAGTTGGTACAGATACATTTAATTAAAGTGAAGCAGAATTTTAAACAAGGTAAAGAAAATTCTGAGTTATAAACTTAGAAACTATGTTTACACCCTTGGGTTTATATCTATTTTTGCTATGAATTTGTGGTTGATCCAAGTCAAGTTACCTGCTGATTTTAATCTCAATATACCAATTTGCAAATTTATCTTACTGGGGTTTTATGAAAATTTTGTAAGGTTTTAAGTTATATTTTTCTATATGAGTGTGCTTATATTTTTGTTATGGCTGTAATTCTACCTATAGTAAAAATGACCAGTAAGTAAAATGAAAAGTAAAGAAAATGATGATTATTGTTAAACTAATCCAGTACTTGGAACTTAATTCAAATTTGAATTGAATGGAGTTAAGTAATTTGTGCTTTTTATATACAGTTAAACAAGTAGAACTTTCCGTTCCTCTTGAAGATAACATTTCTCAAACATGGGAAGTTGTTTCACATCCCTCGACTTTTCTTATTTTCAATGTCATTATTTGTCCTTATCATTTCATTTTATATATTTTTTCATCATGATAAATGTACTCTTTAATCCCCACTGCCTATTTCCCATATTCCTCCATTCACTTCCCCTCTGGTAACCATCAGTTTGTTCTCTTTAGTTAAGAGTCTATTTCTCGGTTTCTCTCTGTCTCTCTTTTTCTTTGCTCATTTTGTTTCCTGGTTTCCTCATTTGTAAGATGAGGAAAATAAACTTTACAAGTATCTGATGAGGATTAAACTGGACAGCTTAAGTCATATGTCTGGCACATACGTGCAACCAACAGCACAATCAATTTGTGATTGTAATGAGAACAGTCTCATCACCCCCAAAAGAAACCCTGTACCCAGTAGCAGTCAATCATCATTTACCACTCCCCTAGCCATTGTCAACCCCTAATCTTCTCTCTGTCTCTGAATGGATTTACCTGTTCTGGACTTTTCATGTAAATGGAGTAATAGAATATGTGGGCTGTTTGTGTGTGTGTATGTGTGTGTGTGTGTGTGTGTGTGTGTGTGTGAATGGCTTCTTTCACTTTGTATGTTTTCAAGGTTCATCCATGTTGTATCACACATGAGTATATCATTCCTTTTTATTGTCGAATAAAATTCCATTGTATAGATATACAACATTTTCTTTATCCAATCATGAAAGGCAGTTTATCTTTATAAATCACCAAATTAATAATGTTTTATTGATCTAAGATGGGTACATTTTACTAAGTTTGCTTAGGACTTCTTGAATTTATTTTTTTAAGTAGAGGCTTGAACTCACAACCCTGAGATCAAGATCTGAGCTGAGATTAAGAGTCAGGTGCTTAACCAAATGAGCCACCCAGGTGCCCCAGGCCTTCTGGAATTTAAATACTAGCTATCTTTGTCACTCCTTTTCAGTCTTTGGTTAAAGGATCTTACTAACTCAGTGATACTCTAATTTGAGCCCTTTCCCCTAATCATATAACCTTAGTGTTCCCACACTGTATTATTTATCTCTTTTCCAATACTTCTCTTCAAAAGTAGGGATGCTGCAGTATATCAGTTTCTATTTTGTTTAATAAAAATAATATTTCCCCAATATTTGAAAAACAAGGAACTGAACAGTTAGATGAAAACAAAACCGAAAACCAAATACCTGTAGTTTATTACTCATACCCATGTTAAATATGAGTGAAAAAAAATTATACCCCAAGATGTTTTTTTCAGGTAATTTAAAATGTTTTATTTTTTCATTCTTATTTGAGAAAGAAAATATTATTTCTGAGTATCAAATATGCATGAGTTATCTGAGAGGCAGAATGTCTTTAATCGTGATTGACTTGCACTCAGCACTGTGAAGACACATCACATTATCTCATGAGGGGTGGATAAATGCTGACACTCTGGATCACCAAATCCCTTGGTGAACAATCATTCTATTTTCCAGTATTAGCAATACTTTCCATTTTTTCTCAGAACATATGACTAGATAAACAAAGAGACTGGATTAGAGTAAATTAGATTTACAGTAAGCTTGGTATCACTATAAAGGGATTGCTGTTATATTAGTTTGGAAATACCCATAATATAAAATACACAAACAATGTGGGATTTATAATCATGTGAATTGTACTTAAAGTTACCAAACAGACTCGTAACAAAGAGAAATGTAACAAGCAAGAAGAAAATAAAAAATTAAGTAAGCTCTACACCCATAGTGGAGCCCAACACAGGCCTTGAACTCATTACCCTGAGATCAACACCTGAGCTGAGATCAAGACTAACCAACTGAGCTACCCAGGTGCCCCAAGAAGAAAGACATTTTTAAAGAGAAGTCAAAGGTCAAAGTTGTCTGCTTAAAGCTGAATAATCCTTGGGTAAATAAAGCATATGTATATGCTCTGGGTCTAACCAATCTTTTCTTTTTCTTTTTCTTTAAACATTCTGCGGAATAGAGACTATTGTCCAAACATGTGTTGTCCCTCTGTGAAAGTCGAGCCTTCCAGGGTGGACAGTTGGCAATGTTTTATCTGATGCTCATAGGGCACAAGACAGTTCTTAAAGGGAGTCAGCTCTACAAGAAGCCTCATGTGTCCTAAAGACTAAAGATGTGTGTTGGCCATAAATAGGCACAGGAAGATCCAACTTGTTTTTACCATCTTAGAAAAGTGGAAAGTAGCATTACAAATGAATCATGGCATAGAATTTATAGGTCCTTCTAGAAAGGGTAATTAATAATAGCTAGAGAATTAATAGACAATATCCATGTGGTCTGCTGTTACTTAAAAAGTACCA